GAGCTCTGCCACGAGCCCCCAGATTGCCCTCACTCTCCCAGCCCCCCCCAAGGCTACCCCACCTGCCCCAACTCCTGGCCCTTTAAAAAAAGCCCCAACTAACCAGCTCCTGCCAGGTAGGGGGGCTGATTCCTGCTGCCCCCCACTGTCCTGTGCTATGGGGGGGCTCTGCCATGAGCCCCCAGAAGTCCTAAGGTCGCTGCAGAAGTGAGTTGGGACTTTTTTAAAAAAAGATTGGGAGCTGGGGCAGGCAGGACAGCCATGGGGCAGCTGAACAGGTGGGGGTCAGGGGCTCATGGTAGAGCCCCCTACGCACAGTGAGACAGTGCAGGGAAGTGGGGAATGCTCCTCTGCTTGGCAGCAACTGGTGAGTGGGGGCTTTTATTTACGGAGCCGGGAGCTGTGACTGGGCAGGGCAGCTGGGAGGTGGGCTCGAAAAGTGGGTAGGGGTTGGGGGCACTCAGGGGGGCTGGGGAAGCAGGCAGGGCCCTGGCAGGGGTCCCCCCATGGTCCCCTCTCCCTTCCTTCAACCTTCCCTCCCCCGGCCCCTACTTAACAGCATGGAGTCTGGGTCCAGCTCCCTGTGGCAGCAAGCGGGGTCTGCCCAGATCTCCGAAGCTCTCTCAATCGATTCGGAAAAGATTCGGAGAGCTTCTAATCAATTCATACCTTTTAACTGGTCTCCTGATTCGATTCAGGTTTGGAGATTTGGCCATCAAGTAGGGCCAAATCTCCTGCAAATTGAATCAGCACCCGAAGCATCATACAGCCTTAATACATAACAAATATGCAGATACAGAAAATTCACAGATTTAGGCTATTATAAATCCTCTATATTGTGTTAAATTCCACAACACCTAAAATAAGCCATTTTGGCTGTGTATGCACATGTGCATGCATGTGTACACACACATACACATTTTACATGTTTGCTGTGAGCCATTGAGAACTTAATTCTGATGATTTTATATTGTAAAATTAAATATAATTCTCTCATATTCAAACAAAAACTTATGATGAATACACTTATGATGAATACATGCTATTTACTTCTATTAAGAAAATTCAATCAATAAATGAAAATTCTTCACTGGGTTTAGTTAGGAGTATCTCATGCCAAACAAGCAAAGTAAACCACTTTGATCCCAATCCTACAAAGGATTGTGCATGTGGTTAACTCTACTGTGAGTAAAGTTTGACTTTAGGGGAAAATTTAGAAAGAATAAGTTAGCATAAAAGTATTTTTTTTGTTAGGCAATATTTGGAAAATAAAATAAGATGTTAATTAAAGTTTACAAAAAATCATCAGTGAAACTATCCATGATTACACTTGACATTTACCTGCTAGATTATCTACACTACTGGTCAGGCTTGTCGCTGATAATGAACCAGGAGTGAGTAGAGGAACCAGTAATGTTCAGATGCAAACTTAAATAAGATTAAACTAAGTACAGCATCACGTACAGATACAAGTATACAAGGTCCTACATAATGTAAGTTACAGTGTTACAAAGCTTCAGAATGGAATAGCTATGCAAAATACAGGATTTACTAATATGTTTGAATATTCCTGTACTGCAACCAAGCAAATAATTTTCAGGCATGGATTGTGTGCATTTTTATATACCTGAGATTTGATTCTGTATTACTAAAGTCCATAGGATTTTTCTTTTGCCTTAAGGGGGACAGGAACAAGCAACTTAAATAAGGTTCATGCTCAGTTACAAAAAAGGAAGGTATAATAGTCTCTAAAGGGAGTGCAGTTTCTGTGTTAAACTTCCATACTTCAATCCAATATTGAAAGTATCGCTCTACTAAACTCTGCTTATGGCCAAAGAGACTCAGCAGTGCCACTATAAGCCTACATTAACCCACTTGGTTGCGCCATTAACTTGTATGACTGAATTCTATCCCTGCAAACGGTGAAATTGGGCAGCTCGTTGAGTCTGCAGAAAAGAAAATTGTGGGATACAACCAATGCCAAAAATTCACTGGATACACAAGCATTTGTCCATTCAGCATTATTGTACTTTCAGACATACCCTGGTTCAATATTACCCCTGAACCCTATATTTAACTTTGTACTTTATACTGAATCCAACTATTGAAATGTCTCAAGTGCAACATAGTAATGAAATCTATCAGCACAAAAACAATGAAATAATAATAAATACATGAAAATGTGTCTCTGGCCAAGTGAGTGATGTCCTGTTGTTTGCCTTTATTTTTTTTACTGGTTTACAATATATTTACTGGGAAAAGAAACCATTCCCATGTTCAGTGACATTTAAATGAAGTGATTTGAATAAAACAAATTGTGAAATTGAAACGGCATCACCCAGTTAGAAAAACAAAGTAACTCTACATACTAGTATTTTATAAAGACAGAAAATAGCATATTTATTCATTAAAAACAATACTAAACACTTTTATGAAATTAAAACTGCAATCAGTCAAGCAGAATGCTTGATTATTAGAAATAAAGAAAGCAAAGTTACTGGCATAAACTTATATTCAGTTTAAAATGAAGTTTGTCCATGGATAACATACACATAATGTACTTTAATATGCACATGTACATTATAAGTACCATTTAAACATTATTTTACATCTAAAAAATAGAAAGCACATTCTATACTGCAAGTGAAGTCTGTGGCCTAAACCTAACAAGGACCAGCGTTCAAGAGGCAGAAATGCTCTAACTTTCGAGCTTTACTAAGCTCCCAAGGTTAGGTCAGGAAGAAGCAGAACAAATTAGCCCAGGGGAGGTGGGTGGGGAGTGGGGCAAGGGGGCGTCAGAGCTTGCCTGCACTACGCAAGCGCAGCAGATAGGGGAGGGGCGCCCTGGGCTGCCAAAGACTTCTGAGCAAAGTCCAAAAGGCCAAGCCACCTGATTGGCTGGCAGGGACATCACAGATACCCACCTGGACCTGATGCAGCAGCAGCTCATCGTGTTATGCACCTTCATGGCCACAAGCCTGTGCCCACCAAGTGTGCATGTGTCCTGGATTCTTGGGTTCTGTGGTGCGGGGCTGTGTGTGGGTATGTGCATGTACCCCACATGCCTATGTTCTGTGTGCATGTGTGAGAGTGTCCAAGATGCCTGGGTTCTGTGCAAGAGTGTGTGGGGGGGGGAGCACACATGCACACAACCCAGGCATCCAGAGAGCGCGCGCGCACACACACACATGCGCGTGCGCGCACACACACACACACAAAAACAACCAAGCCATTGGGAGAACAAGTGAGCAACTGACTTTCATGCAACCGATGAAGACAATGCTTATGGCCTCTTGTGCAGCTTCCCATTCCCAGGAGTAATAGAAAGTGAGCATGATACTCCTAGGGTCTCCGACTTCTTCATCGGCATCATCACCCCACAATCCTTGTAGGGGGCCTGGCCCACCCCCAGCTGCCCTGGCTCATGATGCCCTATAGCGGGCAGCTGGACTGCTGGAAGAACTTCAACTACAGACTGGGCCTGGCACCATGAGCACACACAATGTAGAGATGGGGGAGAGGGCGAACCTCCTGATAATGTGTGCAGCCCTGGCCCCACATCATGGTAGGCTGTCCAGAACTGTGAAGTCCTGGCCAACTGCCTTCTCACCTGTGTGGACTGGTAGCCTCCCAGAGGAGTAGGGCCAGAGAGCATCTAATATTCACACCCTGACACTAGACCATGGGTCTCCTGCCATGGGCTCCTCTGGCCCTGCCTTATGGGCACTGCTGCCCACAACCCAGCCTGCCTAGGCACCATCATCTTTCACTTCTCTCTTCCCAAACCCCCTCTCCACCTCTCCAGGGCACACACCCGGGTGCAGGGGAATGCAGTGCGAGGAAGAGACATGCCTCAGTTTAAAATGCTTTGGTTGCCAAACTTTTCCTTTGTTTAATAAAGAAAACCTGTTGAACATTGCCCATATCTCAGCTTGGTCCCTCTTCCCAATTAATAGAAAACAGCAAATCTTTGCTGGTGGCAGGGTGAGGGGGTTGAGAATGAGTCAACCGAACCTGGAAGTGGGTTTGGGGTCAGGGAAAAAACCACAGGGCCTTAACTTAACAAACATGAAAACTCGGAGGAGAGGCATGGGGTAAGGGGCTTTTGATCTTGCACCCTACATTCAGGGGTCCTGAGTCAAGACCAGGGACTTCACATAGGAGCTGGAGAGCTACATAATCCCAGACCCAATGTCCCTCAGAGAGCAGTAGGCCAGGAGGCATCA